ATCTCTCTCAACAACAACAACGGAGGAGGAGGAAAAGAGAGAGATACACACAGACTGTGAGTCTCACAGTCTGTGTGTATCTCTCTCTTTTCTCCTCCTCCGTTGTTGTTGTTGAGAGAGATACACACAGACTGTGAGTCACTCAGTTACGATGCATACTCCATCTGGCATTGTGAACCGCTTTCAATTCTGGGTTTTGCCTATCGCTCAAAATAACACGCTGTCACTGTCATGTAGATGAGTGTATGACAAAGGCATATTTAGCGTAGCTGTTATGTACCGATACTGATACTGATAGTGATAGCACCGAGCACATCAGCTGTACCCACGGACGCCGCGGATTTTTGGATCAACGTGTGCTGGATACTACTTTTACCTCAGATTACTGTGTTTGCAGCGTTTTATCTGTGTGAATTGTGCACCATTATTCTTCTTTTGGCGTATTTTCCGAGCGGTGCAAATTTGGGAGCTATTCTATGGCTAATTCCGGAGATCTCACTGATTTGCCATACTACCATCTCTGTCCGCCATCTTAGATTTGCTCTAGCTTGTGATGCCGTCTCAAGCTACTTGTGGTTCGTGTTCGAAAGTTGTGGGAAATAAGGCTCATGCACTTCGATGCTACAGCTGTGATGTTTTGTTCCATATTTCGTGCATTGGCTTATCCGTTGACGTGTTTCGAAAATCGCTCGACATCCGACATCGGTTTTTTCAAGTTATATGTGATAAATGTCGCGGTACAAGACATCAGAATACGCAGCGACCGCAAACAACTACGGAAAAATCTCTCTTTCAGATAGGAACAAACCGTTCACCACGTGGGATCAAACGCCCTCGTGAAAGTACCTCTGTCACCTCGCCTTCTATTGTCACTCCGCGATCTGCACCACCACCAGCGTCTTCGACCCCCGGCCGAACCCCAGGTTCAATGTTTCCCACCGATGGAAGACTCAGACTCAGAAGCTACGAAATGCCGCTTCACTGATCGGTCCGTGAATTTCTCAGAGCCTGTCTGTGAACTGCTGAACACCGAGGATCCATGGACCACTCAGAAGCGCAAGGGCCCACGTAATCGAGTTCAGACGTCACCTACTGATAAACAACTACCCAATCAGTCAAGCACCTCTAGTTCTGCTCCCACAGGTTCATCACTGATTTCGCTGAGGCGTCATAATCTCATGGTCTTCCACGTACCGGAGTCAAAAGATGAAAACCCTCAGATACGTTATGATCACGATGTTGATTTCCTCCAGGGGCTCATCGATAGACTCTTGGATGTGGGCGAGGACAGTGTGACGATTAAACAAGTAATCCGACTTGGCCAGAAAATTAACCAGTCATGTCGACCTCTGAGGATCACCTTTGCAAATCCTAATATGCCGCAGCTCATACTGTCTCGTCTGTCAAGGCTGAAAGGCATAAAAGTTCACATCCGCCGAGATTTGGAACTGGAGGACAGGGATCGTTTGAAGACTGCGGTCATTGAGCTCAAACGCCGTACAGAGGAAGGTGAGACTGACTTACAAGTTGTAAATTTTCGGGTGATCAAGAAGGGTGTACGAATCCGTATCAATCGGTTGCTCAACCTCCAGGCACGTCCCGCAGTACCTCCCAGGACCTCCGTGTCGCATTCGCCAACGTGTGCAGCCTAATGAACAAACGTGACGAACTGTGCCGCTTCGCTGTCTCGGAGCGGCCGGACATTTTAGGACTTGCAGAGACATGGTTGAACTCCGACATCATACCCCAAGAAGTCGTGTTGTCAGGATACTCTTGTTTCCGATGTGACCGAAAATCAAAGGCTCACGGTGGTGTTCTGTTGTACATAAAATCGTCACCATCTGGCAAACGTATCAGTACCTATCGGAGCGAGGATAGTTTATGCGAGCAATTGTGGTGCACAATCCGTCTCAGGCGCGCAGAACTAATTGTGGGGGTTATCTACCGGAGCCCATTAAACCGTTGCTGCGATTGGATACCACATGTACAGAAGCACATGAGCCGCCCTCAGTTCTTACTGATGGGGGATCTAAATTTACCTAAGATAATTTGGCCAGATGTTCGACTTCTTCCCGGTCATGGCAACGTTGAGGCTCAATTCGCTAAAATGACTATTGAAATTGGGGCAACGCAACATGTCATCCAACCGACGCGCGTAACTCCGTACTCGGCATCTTGTCTGGACCTAATGTTTACGAGCTGCGAGCAGAAGCTAAAAGAGATCAGAGTCATCGAACCTCTGGCGAACAGTGACCACTGCTCTATTGTAGCAAGCTTAGAACTGTCGTTACCATATTACAATCAACAGAAGCCGACATTCAACTATTGGAAGACGGACTTCAACGGACTTGTCCAAGCCGCAAGTCAGACTGATTGGACACTACCACATGATGCGTCACTTGAGGCGTGGTGGTCATTAATAAAGGGGAAGCTTAACTCGCTCTGTACTCGGTTCGTTCCCCTTAAGTATCCAAAAATCGGACCTGTCAAACCGCATTGGTTTGATAGGGATTACAGACAGTTAGCGCGACGACGTCGTAAACTTTGGGATAAATACATCAGCTCGGGTTGTGATGAAGATTACGCGGTGTACAAGAAACAGCGTAACTTATGTAACGCCGCAAAGATCAAGAAACGCCGGCAGTTCGAAGAGGAACTAGCATCCTCGGCCGCAACTGCACCCAAGCGAATATTTGCCTACTTGAAACGTCAACTGAAACCTGGAGACGACCTACCGGTCTTAGAGAGCTTAGACGGGAAGACACTCATTTCAAGCGCGGATCGCGCGGACGCCCTGGCTACGCACTTCCTCACTGTATTTTCCAGTAAACCGGCGGCTGTTCCAGTACCAGCACAGGTTGCGCCAGTCTTGCTCGACAGCCTACAATGTGATGCAGTCGAAGTACATCAGCTACTCGTCAACCTCAATGTTGCAAAGCCCCCCGGGCCAGACGGACTTCACCCACTAATACTCAAGTCCCTATCGATTATCATCTCACCAGTTGTGACAAACCTTTTCAATAGATCGCTCTCTGAAGGATCTGTCCCCAACGACTGGAAATGCTCGATAGTTAAACCGCTTCCCAAGGGTGGTGATCAGAGTAAAACAGAGAACTATAGACCGATCTGTTTGACTTCGGTATTATCCAAAGTTCTCGAGAAGGTTGTGAAAAAATGTCTGCTGTCCTTCTTCGAATCGATGGACATATTGACGCCAGCGCAACACGGCTTTACGAAAGGGCGATGCTGCATCACCAACTTGATGTACGCAAACCACCAGTGGGTTCGAGCTCTCAATGAACAGAAGGATGTTGACGTGGTGTACATCGACTTTAGTAAGGCGTTTGATAGAGTGAACCACGAGGTACTCCTTCGTAAACTGAGGACATACGGAATCGGTGGCACGTTACTTCTGTGGATACAAGAGTTTATTGTGGGACGAAGGTTTAGAGTACAGGTCAAAGACTATCTGACAGAATGGTTCCCATCGACCAGTGGCGTGCTTCAAGGAACTGTACTTGGGCCAGTATTATTTCTTATTCATATCAACGATCTTCCGCAGCAGCTCCAGTCACCATGTGTCCTGTTTGCAGATGATTTGAAAATCTGGGGGATCATTGAAAACCAGGACGACTGCGCTCGCCTCCAGCATGACTTAGAGCGACTGTCAACGTGGTCCACTGAAATGCAACTCCTTCTTAACGCAAGCAAGTCGGAGTTCATCAGTATCACCAGACGTCCAGCCACTCGATCATACACCTTGGACGGCCAGTTGCTCCATCCCAACACATCTGTCAGAGACTTAGGAGTTCTCTCACGACATGATTTAAGATCACTAGAAAATACAGAGAAATTGTACCGTGCGGGACTTCGTATGCTCTGGGCATTACGACGCAGTTTCTCCACATGGTCCGAAGAAACCGTCCCTCGTCTATTCACCTCGCTCATTAGACCAATCCTTGAATACGGTGCCCCAGCTTACCATCCGATAACCGAGTGGGAAACTGAAAAATTGGAGAAAATACAGCATATCGCAACTAGAATGATACCAAGTCTACGAAAGCTTCCGTATGAAAAACGTTATGAAAAGCTCGGACTCTACACACTATCCTATCGCCGAGTAAGAATTGATCTTATTATGACCCATCGAGTACTACACTTGAATCATTTCCCCATACTACGGCCAATATTTCACCTGAGAGAACCCTGTAACACCCGAGGACATCGTTACAAACTCAGGGTCCCCAGCATGAACAAAGTATCACATCAGCTTTGTACAGAACGAAGAACCGTAAACTTATGGAATACACTACCTGAAGGATTAATAGAGGCCGATTCTGTGAAGTGTTTTAAAACCCGTATCGACGATTATTTTGCAAACCTGTGCTTTTGTGAAACGATGCACATACAGTGCCAAAAGAATACATTGTATGTCCGGAAATAATGACGCTAGTACAAATTTCTAACCGAACACGGATAAACGATTAACGGACCAGACACAACTGCTGATAATTCACAAGTAAATTTTGATTTTTCGTAATTCGATAGAGTTGTACAGAAACCTTTCTACTTGCTCTTAAATACAGTATCAGTATCAGTATCAGTATCACACTGGCTGATGTTGGTCCGTCTCGCTCTCCAGGTCGTAGTCCACGCAATCCTCTTTATGCTTCGCTCGAGACATTACAGGATCTAGTTCACAGTCGGCCCCAGTTGCGCATTTGCTGCGGTCTCCTGGTCGGTTTGCTTGTGTCCAAAGTGACCTGTGCCGAGTTGCTGGGTAATGGCTGATTATGATGAGGGGCAGTGAAGGCAGTGAAAGCTATCTTGCCGATACCGCCTTATGCCTTCACGGATGTTGTTGTCACAGTGTTGGCAGCTTAAGTCAGAATATTTGTTTAGGTCTAGGTTTCCCTTCTCACCCTCTTATTGGTCTTCGTTCCGTAGGTCATGGTGATTGAGCGCTGGTGAAGCATCAGTCCCAAACGGCTGATATCCTGCCGTTGAGGACACTACTGATGATGTTCAATCGCTGTAACCTTAGAGTCGACAAGAGACTGTGATGTAACTGTCGTATATTTGTCGTTTTATTGGTTTAAAACCCAGATAGTAGCTAAACATCAAGAGAAGGGGTGAACAAATTGGCGGCAGGAATATCACACCGAAGAACTGGAGGTCAAAGGTAAAATGTTATATGCAGCCACACTCTAACTTCTTTTATTGTATTGTTTCCAACGATCTTTTATTACAAAATTATAGTCAACGTTTATTTTGACGTCCACTTGCAGGCACTTTATATCATCCTACGTTCACTGCTTGAAATTTTGTGTGACGTCACTACGGCGGCTTCTCAGTTGGAATTTTCTTGGACGTTCGGTCTTCTCCAACCCCTCGAGATGCTCATTGTTCAGCTTCTTTTACTGCAGGAATGTGACACTCATACGCCTCGAAGTGTTTTTTTCCAACCACTATATTTCTACCAAAATGAATTAATTACGTTGATGCAGTTGACCGGTGGAGTTTTCTCCGATCACCATCTAGAGCAACTATTGAGCAAATCGAGTTTTACTAGCATATTGAAACAGGTGAGATCAATCTATCTCTTGATAGTGACCTGTTCATTGGTTTAACTAGTCAGAATTATGCTATGAACATAGTATTTCGTTACAAACTCTTCTCACCTTCCATGGGGTACTAACCTGCAAAGATTCTAAGGAGTTGGAAGAAGTTTCACTTGCTATACTCTCTTGATAGCATTTGTGATAAAGCAACGGAGTAATGCATTATAACAGGTATAAAAGCAAACACTTGACTAGTCCAGTAGGATGGTTATGGTGAAAATTACAAGATTAAACACAGCGTCTATAAGAGATAGCGCAAGCTACTCACCAAGAGGTTCGCTATTGCACATGTGTGAATATTCCTGCCTGGACTACGAGGGGATTATAACATCGCTCACTGTTTGTTCTTCACTCCAGTTAGGAACTCCAGCAAGGTTGACAGTCTGAAGCCAATGTGTTTGACACGTATTTTGGCCACTGTTACTGATAAGCATGTAAGGAAGCGTTTGCTAGAGCTGTTCCGGTCTAAATGTCTCCTACGCGAGTTCAGCTTGTCTCTGCGCGAGTTCAGCTGGTCTCTGCGCGAGTTCAGCTAGTCTCTGCGCGAGTTCAGCTCCCCGGGTGCGGATGGCATTCGCCCGAAGGCGTTGAAAGTTACTGCCATGAGTTTGGCAGGACCATTAGCAATTTTCTTTCAACGATGTCTGAACGAGGTGCACGTCCCCACGATGTGGAAGCACGGATTCATCACGTCAATCTACAAAGTGGCAGTCGTGCTGAACCAGCGAACTATCGCCGGATAACACTACTTCCTGGGATGTCCAAGTTTAATGGAGTCCATTGTAGCTGAGGCTTTGATGGGGTACCTGCAGAACAACAAAATTTTCGTCCAGGAGCAGCACGGATTTCGCCAAAATCGCTCCTGCACTACTAATCCGTTAATTGCTCGTGCAAGCTGGACGGAATCAGTGGACGCTGGTGTAGGAGTCGACGCGGCCTACTTGGATTTCTCAAAGTCATTCGACCGTATGTACCATCGCATTCTTCTCCACAAACTCCAGAAATATGGAATCGGCGATCCTGTTCTGGGTTGGATAGGAAACTTTCTCGTGCAACGTCACCTGAATGTGAGGGTTAGAAGCAACCTGTCGGAATCCATCGAAGTTCAGTGCGGCGTACCTCAAGGCTCGGAACTTGGACCCCATCTGTTCCTGGTTTTCATAAATGATCTCGCGAGCGTGCTATCTTCTAACTGTTTACTATTTGCTGATGATCTAAAGGTGTGGCGTACTATAGCTGTACTGGAGGATCACACGGTGTTACAGGAGGACCTGGACAAAGCGTACACATGGTCCATCGAGAACATGCTGCACTTCAACCTCACCAAGTGCAAAGTTTTCTGCATACGACACAAGAGTATGCACAAGTTCCGCCTAGGACCACAAATTCTACAGCGGGCTTCTCACGAGTGCGATCTCGGCGTGATAGATCAAGATGACCTCGGTTGTTTGAGGCAGACTGAAAAGGCAGCTAAGAAAGCAAATCAGTACCTCGACCTTCTTCGCAGAGCTTTCTGGAAGTTTGAGCCTTCAGTCTTTCCAAAAATGCTTAGTGCGTACGTGAGGCCGCACGCGGAATACGCTATCCAAGCGTGGCAACCCTGGCTCAAGCACCATCTCACCGCGCTCGATACTGCACAACGTAGGGCAACGAAGAGCGTTAGAGGTTTGACCAGCCTCCCCTACCCACTCAGGCTGAAGACTCTCAAAATATACAGTGGACTTTATCGGCGTTTAAGGGGCGATCTCATAATGGTGTACCTAATCCTGAGAGACCCCAACCACCCATGCCATTCCCTTCTAATACTCAGTCAAAACACCTCGCTAAGAGGTCACCAGTTTGTTAGTTACGCAGTACAGCCGCCTGGAATGTCGGCGAAACTATTTCTCCCTTCGAGTGGCACAGCCTTGGAACGCCCTCCCGGAACATGTAATTAATGCACCCACCCTATCTCTTTTCAAAAAACGCCTTGACGATACCCTGTCACATTTACACTACGCGCTATAGCTCATGACCACCAGATGCTGGCACTAATGCACAACAGACAGGGGATAGTGCCATAACCCCACTCGAGAATGAGTCATTCCAAACTCCTTACACGAAATTTGATAAACGCTACTACTACAGAAACTGGATTACTGTATCCTGTCGACCCAGGATAGTTGCACACGAGTAAGTGTTGTCCTTGCTACCTTTTTTATTTTTCTCGCCTATGATGTGAACAATAACCACTCCCCTGTTGCTTTGTGTGAGTACATTCTCATTTCAAACTCCCTCTATACGACATTGCAGTTACATCTGTAAGCGCCCGAACTGAAGATTCCATTATCCCTTCGTTATCTTTTTTATCACGCTATACACCTCACGGGACATGTCAAGCACCTGCTTTTTTACCCGTTATAAATCATTGTTCATTGTTCATAGCGCCTGGTACAGCACGATTTCATGCCAGGTAGTTCATGCATCTTCAACCTGCTCGTTACGAGGCATGCATGGTTGCAAGTAGTGAATCAAAGGAAGTCTGTCGAAGTGAACTATATCGATTTCAGCAAGGCTTTGGACAAGGTGAACCATGACACTATGCGGTATTAGCAGCTCACCGCACCAGTGGATCCGTGAGTTTCGCGTTGGACGAAAGTGGTAGGTACAAATCGACAGCCATCTGACCGACTGTTATCCTTTGACCAGTGGCGTACCCCAAGGCCCGGTGCTTGGGCCTATAGTATTCCTTTTTATATCAACGATTTACCTCAGCTTCTTCGGTCGCCATGTCACTGCTTGCGCATGACCTGAAGAAGTGAAAAGTGATGTCGGACGACTGTGGCCTACTTCAGAAATACCACAACCACCTTTCCGTTTGGCATACAGAAGTCTGTCTTCTGGTCAACCCTACCGAGTCGGTATTCATGAGGCTGGGGAAGGGTTGTGACGGCTAAACCTGCACCCTTGACGATGAAATATTACTTCGCACCCTTCCATGAAGGAGAAAGTTGTGCTCCCACGTTGCTAGTTTAAGTCCCTGGACAATACGAATAGGCTGTATGTTAACGGACTACACATGCTATGGGTGCTCAAACGCAGCTTCTGCGTCTGTTCTGAAGGCATTGATCTTCACTCCTCTCCTTCATCATATGACCGATGCTGGAGTACGACTGGTCTGCATAGTGTCCCATCTCTCGACTGGAGGTGCATAAAATCGAATGGGCGCAACAATTCGCTACCAGGCTCATCCCGAGTTTGCGGAGCTTAGTGTACGTAGACAGGTGCAGGAAGATGGGACTGTACACCCTGCCTTATTGTCGAGTGCGAGTCGACGTCATCATGACCTACCGCATTTTCATCCAAGTGATTTCACGTGTTGAGGCCACTGCTCCACTGGCGAATACCTTGCGGCACACGCGGTTACCAGCATAGCTTGTGATTGCAGATTTGAAGCGGGTTCCGCATCGCTTGCGCTTTTAACGACGAGTAATCAATGTGTAGAGCATTTTTTCAGATCACGTCGTGGAGGCAAACTCAGTGTAGCAGTTCAAAACATTGTTGGATGTATATTTCCCGAAGAACGATTACATGCCATCTGCCGAAACTTGGCTACAGCACCAAGCTCAGGGGTTACTGCTTGAAACCGAGTAAACAATACTGCCGTCTAGAGTGTCGACGGAATTACTTTTCTCTTCGGGTTTGCCAACCCTGGAATGCCCTCCCAGACACATTTGTATCCTCCCCTACTTTGGACATCCTCAAAAAGCGATTGGAATTTACTCTTAACTTCCAGCACTTTGTTACCTAAACTATACCCTTTTGGATTACGTTCATCATGCCCCTATACAGGATTAATGCGTCACATAGACCTAGGAAGACGGCACATAGGTGAGCGACCATGTTTTGCTTTTCTCACCCTTTACGTCAACGATCTATGCACCACGCGTTTTCCTGTATGCCTGTATTCAACTTTTACTTTATATCCGCGCATTTATCTTGGTAGACGCTCGGTAGATGATTCACACTCCTTTTTATTTTATAGTATTCACCTAAACCGTCTCACGGGACATGTCAAGCACTTGCTTTTTAACCTGTGATAAATCCTTGTTCATTGTAAGGATATGGCACATTTGTGTGTCCTAATGTAACCTGAGTTTTAAGTAATTTTTTATATGACGTAAACCATATGACGTAATCATTGTGTAGACAGATGATAGATGGATATTTTTAACTTTTTGAGCGTATTTCGATGGAGTTGCACAGATGCAAATTTCTTCTTGCTCCCACAATGTATTGTGGGATACTGTAGTTTCCAATATTCATCTGATAGTCATGGTTTATATCACGTAGTGTAAATACGTCATTGTGTCGTCAATCCTTTTTTGAATAGTGTGTTGGAGGCAGCATTAATTGTGAGAGCCAGGAAGACATTCCAGAGCTGTGAACCTCGAAGGGAGAAAACGTTTTGCTGACATTCCAGTCGGCTGCACTGCGTGCCCAGCTTAAACTGATGGCCCCTCAGAGAAGTATTTTAGCTGAGTTTCCAAAGATAGTGCCTTGTATGGTTGGGTTTTTTAGTATTTGTTACACGCTTAAGAGATCGCTCCGTAGACACCCATAACGTCTGATTTACACTTGTTGGGCTTTCAACCTGAGTGGGTAGCGAAGGTGTAACAAACGTCTGGAGTTCTCTATCGCCCTGCACTGTGTTATCTCGAGTGCTGGGAGGTGGCGCTTCTTCCAGGGATGCTACGCGTGGATATCGTATTCCGCGGGCGGCCTCACACGCGCCTAACAGTTTCAGAAAAATTGGGACGTCGAACTTTCCGAACGCCCTACTAAAGTATTCGAAGTGCTGATTTACTTGCTGTGAGACCTTTTCAGTTTGTCTCAAATATCCAACGCCATCTTGCGCGAGCAAGCCGAACTTGCGCGCATGAGTATCGCACTGTAGAATTTGTTGAAATAGCCAGCAATCATGA